TATTATTGTGCCATCTCAAAGAGGCACAAAATCACTTTCACTGACTTTTACATTAACTTTTCCCTCCTAGTGGAATGACCTGCCCAACTCAATCGAGCGGTTTAGTCCTTAGCCATCTTCAAGGAACGACTGAAAACACATCTGTTCCATCTTTATTTGACCCTCTAACTCTAGCACTTTCTAATCTTTTAATTCTACTTTATCTATTTATCTTTTTTTATAAAAAAAACACTAACTTTCTATTTTTTCTATTCTATGTACTTGTTTTTCTTTGTTTGTGTGTGTGTGTGTGTTAAAAAAAAAAAATATATATATATATATATATATACTGTATATATACCTTGCTACGTGTACTGCTTTAGGCTAACCGAGACTTGTCATTTGCACTTATATATTGTTGCTGTTTTGCAGTGTTAGGAGTATAATGCATTACAGTAACTGATTACTTTTTGCTGTAACGCAGTAGTGTAAGGCATTACTAATCCATTTTCAGTAATATTTTACTCGGTACATGTTCAGTAACGCATGCGATACAACACACTTTTAGCCCAAAATTTAATTGTTCAAAGAAAAAGAAAAAACGCCAGACCGCGAGATATTAATGAATCAAAAATGCTGCAAGTAAGTTCTATTTCCTGTTTGTGGTCAATAGCCGCATGTGGTGTCCAAGTTTGTAAATAAAGACTAAACGACAGCTTCTGATATATATGTTTAGCGATTTATTTCATTCATCTCCCTCTCACTGGTGGAACTTTGTATTGTGTGACATAGTCCAGTGAAGGTGTGTTTAGGGCAGGTTTTACAGGAGTGCTGCGAGGCTACTGGCGCGACAGTGGAAATGAGGCATGATTTCGGCCTCTGTGGTCGAGGTCTGAGGCTATTAGCCCCGCCCGGCTCGCTGTAAGCCCCGGCTCGCACTGGCCAGTGGAAAAGCAGCTAATGGGTGAAGATGGCAGAAGACTGTACATGCGCGAGATGGACGTATGCGCATCTTGTCATGACATTAGAGCTTACATATAGTCCTGTTGTGTCTAATATGAATAGACCCAAGCTATTCACAGATATTGCCAGATAATCACTTTACCTCTACCATACTTTTAACAGACTTGGATCGTTTGTGATTCTGACTGTCATCCTTTCTTGCATTGTCTTGAGCCTTCACTTTGCCAATTATAATCTATATTGTTAGTAGCCTGGATAGCCCACAGTCATTATGCTACACCATATCGCCCTCTACTGAATGTAGAATGCTCTGCAGTACATTTTGTCATTTTAGAATAAGTATGGTAACACTTTAGAATAGGGAACACTTATTCACTATTAACTACGAATTTTCCCTCAGTAAATTCCGAATTTGCTGCTTATTAATAGTTAGTAAGGTAGTTGTTAAGTTTAGGTATTGGGTAGGATTCTAGAATAAGGTCATGTAGAATAAGGCATTAATATGTGCTTAATTACTACTAATAAATGGCTAATATTCTAGTAATTGCATGCTAATAAGCAACTAGTTAAAGGGGTCATATGATGCTTTTTTAAAGATCATTATTTGGTGTAACAGAATATGTTGACATGCTTTAATGTTCAAAAAACACATTATTTTTCAAATACTGTACATTATTGTAGGTCCTCTATGCCCCGCCTCTCTCAAACGCTTTGTTTTCTACAAAGTCCCTCCTTCCAACAAGCGCAGTCTGCTCTGATTGGCCAGCTGACCCAGTGCATTGTGATTGGCCGAACACCGCAAGCACTCGTCGGAAATGTAACGTCCCTTACCATAATGCCCGCACACACACGATGCGCAAAACTCCGCATTTAAACAGTCAATAGCAAATACTTAAACTAATAAAAAACAGTAGCTGATTTATCCATAAAATGCATTGCTGTTCTGTTGTAAGTAATCTTAAAG